TATCATTCGATATAAAAACTGATTTTCCTTCATTGAAACTTATTCAAAGTTATTATCATCATGCATCAGATATTCCTCTTTTATATCATACAGTTGGCCAGCATTTAGATCAACTTGCTAATAAATATCCAAATCATGAATGTTATGTATTTAAAGGTGAAGGAAATAAACGGTATACATACAAATCATTTCTTGATGAAGTCAATAGTTTAGCAACAAGTCTTATCGAACTTGGTTTTGAAAAAGGTGATCGAATTGGTGTTTGGCTACCGAATACATCAGAAAGTTGTGCAATGACTTATGCCGCATCTAAAGTTGGCTTAATCAAAGTATTCTAGTTCTTTAAAATCTATGTAGATTTCATTCTGTCTATTATTATAGGTGAATATCAATCCAGCTTATATGGAACGTGAATTAACATACTGCATTAATAAAGTTGGTTGTAAAGGTTTAGTAATGAGACCCAACGTAAAAACAATTGATTGTATGAAAATAATAAATAAAGTAGTACCTGAACTTGTTGAAACCAAAGGTGAATTAAATGCAAAATTAGTGCCAACATTAAAACATGTGATATTAACAGCTGGTGACTACGGAAAAGATAGTGAAAGTAGAAATGGTATTTCAAGAAGAATACATTTATATAGCGATCTTATTCGTAAAGGTGCAGGAAGTCGACAAGAAAAGCTACGTGAACGTCAATCAGAATTAGATGGTGATACTCCACTTGCTATTTTTTATACATCGGGTACTACTGGGCAGCCAAAAGCAGCTACAGTAACTAACTTCAACTTGTACGCTATGAAAAAAAGAATTCTTTTGTTTTAAAGAGTAAAAAAAGTTTTCATGTTCATTTCTTCTTTAGACTAAATGCTTGTGCTCCTTTGTCTTATACTCATCCATCATTGATGAGTCGTGTTTGTTGTCCAGTTCCAGCATTTCACATATTTGGTGAAGTAGGAGGTACTTTGAATATAAATGCACCGGGTTATTTTACAGTTTTTCCTGCAATTTTACCCGATACAATAGAATCAATGCGTACTGTTCAAGAGGAAAAATGTACTGCACTCATAGGACCACCAATTATCTTTCGAGATATTCTTCAACATCCTAAAAGAAAACAATACGATATGAGCTCTCTTTTATTTGGTATGATTGGTGCAGCTCCTGTTAATCCATTACTGATGGAACAACTAGAACGTGAAATTCCTATTAAAGCTATGTGTCAAGTATATGGTCAAACAGAAAATACGGGCGGCTTGGTAATGAGCATATTTGCTGGAGATGATAAACAACGTCGTTACACCTCAGTTGGTAAAGCATTGCCTCGTATAGAAATGAAAATAGTAGATACAAATAATCGTATTCTACCTATTGGTGAAGAAGGTGAAATTTGTGCAAGAAGTTATAATATTATGGAAGGTTGGTGTTTTCTCAAAGGCGATATTCTACGAATTTATTTATATGTTTAGGTTATTATGATGATGAAGAGAAAACACGTGAAACGATAACATCTTCTGGTTGGTTGAAAACTGGTGATCTAGGTACTATGGATGAAGATGGTTATATTTATTATCGATCACGTAAAAAAGAAATGATTATTGTTGGTGGTATAAATGTATATCCAGTTGAAATAGAAAATTATCTTTTGGAACATCCAAAGATTGTTGAAGCACAAGTATTTAGTATACCTGATCAACGATATGGCGAAGTTGTTTGTGCATGGGTAAAAGTAAAAGCAGAAACAAAAATTGATGATGTTGAGGAAGTGAGACAATTCTTAGCAATTAAAGTTGCCTTTTTCAAAGTGCCAAAACATGTAAAAGTGATTGAATCATTTGTTCCATTTACTACAGCAACGGGCAAAGTACAAAAATTCAAATTAACAGAAGCAATGTTGCAAGAACTATCAACAACATCTTCATAGTTTAGTATTTCTTCGAAAAAAAACTCATGTTTGATATTTTCTAGTAGAAATTATTTATGCAAATTGTAAAAATAATATTTGATCAAGCACAGATAGCTTTGTTTCAATATTATTACCTGTAAAATATTTAGGGCTGAAGTTTCCGAATCCACGAGTGCTGCATCTCAGATAGTTGCTTCCGCAACACTTTGTCTCCAACAATACATGCTCCTTACCAGCAACGAACGAAACTCTTACTAGCTACAAGCACAATATATAAATTATTTGAATTAAGATATAGAAATCAATAATGAAATGATAAAAATTATTATTATTTTATAAAAATAGTAGAGATATTATATAATTAATAATAAACAACAATAATAGAGAAATAGAATTCATATATGTGTATATATCTATGTTACCGAAGAAAATACTTACAGCCATACCTTAAGATATATAAGCCGCCATCATGTTTTAAAATAGTCGCTGACGATTTCAACTGGCGTTGTTGTCACACAAAAATAAATATTTAATTTTCAAAGATTTTGACGCCAAAAATCAGTCTTAGCAGATGTTATCGTCTGATTTCTTGTCTATAAGTTCTTTACCATCGTTTGTCTATTTTTTATCTCAAAATTTCTCGAAATTAACAAAATTTTTAAAAAACTCATGTACAAATTGAATTCGTCTCTGCAGTCGACAGTAAAAAGACAGAATAAATTTAGCCTTCGCTACCGATCAATATCTCGACTTACAGCACTATTCATGATTTTCAGCATTAGGCTTTTTTCAATAGTTTTGACTGTGTATCAATCAGTATTTTGTTTAATTTTAATGTAAAAAAGAACTTATCAGAAAATAAAAAATTAATCTATTCACATCACATACATATTATTCGCCTAGATTGTAATCAATGTCATGTCAGGCTGATTCATCATTCAAATACTGTTGAATCAAGTACTATTCATTTTAGTTGAATAACAAAAATTATGCTCCGAAATGAAATGTTATACTTGATGATAATACGTCGCATGTCTCCTAATCGTGTCTCAAATAATTCTAGATTTCTGTCGTTTATCTTACTAAGTTGCTTCGAATAATCTGATTAAGTTGTTATTTGGTGTCGTTTTATTTATGCTTAAAGAATACTAATAACTTTATAACATTTCATATGACTACCAATTTTTTAAATTAGTTGGTTTGTCTTCCTGATAAATTAATTGAATATATATTTCTTTCAATTACCTATTTTTCATCCATTGAACCTTTCAATCATGTAAATATTCCTCCATCATCATTTTGTTTTTCTTATACCTTTTATGAACCATATTTTCGTCGTACTTATGAAGACCTTGTTTCTTTAGCAATATTTTATCGTCGTTTTAATCACATTTTTCGTTCATCGACACTCGAGTTGCAAAAATGTCATCATAAGCATGTATCCATTGTTAATGAGTAATTAGCAATTCATGCTGGCATTGATTTTCGACGACTCTATTTTTCGAATCCATTCCATCTTGATATAATCTTTTGGATTCCAATAATAATAATAATAATACTCGAAATGAACAAAATCGATTTTGGAGCACAAGTATACGATAGGAGCAAAATCCTAAGGAACTCGTACCTAGAAGTCTCTAGAGTCGAGTTATAAGCATTCTACTGAATTTTTGATCGAACTTTGAATAATTATCGCAAATTCAAATACAGAAATTCCGACGTGAAAATTTGCCTTATAGATAGGTCGGGTGATTCTGAAAGCTTCGCCCAAAAAGAATATTTCTTTGTCGAAATGTTGAGTTTTCTAGTAAACGCGGTTTCTTAGTATATAGGTGACAAAGAACTATTTTATGAAAATTGAACTTCTCAACAGTGAAACATTCTTTTTAGCAAAAACTTCCAAGGTATTCTCAGAGTTATTAGATCTATCTATCTGCGAAACTTAGGTCCAATATTCCTGTTTTGATTTTTTGGTAATTACCTAAAGCTGAATTGGAAATTTAGTAAAACAACCATAACTCATCTCTAGAAGTTCTTAAGCACCAACCCTTTGAGAATTTTTCTAGTCTTACTGAGACTTCGTTGCAATTCCAATATAAGCTTAAACAGTGAATATCAGTTTGGATGATGCCGTTGTTAGTAGTTATAGTGATGTACCAAGTTAAGATAGAAACTAAACTGGTAACTAAATAAGTTAGAGCCTAACGAATTACTAAGAAAATGACCAGGTCATGATTCATGATGCACATCATATGATAGTTGAATAGATGCTGTATATATACATGATAAATATGCAGAAAACATGAACGTCAGGATTGATTGCCGAAACGAAACTCACAAACATGAAAAATTGAAAGGTATTCGGCAATCTTCATTTCGTTGAACTTCATACAGATGACCTTTATTTCGATGATGTCTATTTTCACGGTCCCATTTTTGGCGATGAAGTACACGACCTGCTCTATCGCTTAGTTATCAGATTAATCTTAATCCTTTATATAGATATATGATAATGAAACATTATAATTTTGTTCCTAGTTGATTTCTGTGAATCCAGTAATTGAGTTTACAGTTTGTATCGCAGGACGTCGAGATTGTTCATCTATTTGCAATTTAGCATTATGTTTTTCTGATGGTCATATATAGTAATATCAACGTTCGTTTTCAAATGAAGATTGTCAATGGCATCATATAATTTATGTTTATATTAATTATCCACACAATGAAATACCTTCTCATGCGTCGATTAATTTGAACGGTAAAGATCACCGATTTTGGAGCTGGAAATTACGCAACAAAACTTGCTCAAGTTAAATCAAAATTAGCACTGAGAGAAAAGAATGAAACAGAAAATCAAGAATTTGAAGAGACAACCATTGAACAACATCCTTTCAATAGTTTCGAATTAAGAATTCATTAAATTCTATTTTGTCAAACTATTTATGTACATATCAATCTTTGTTAAAATTATATTAGCAACTTTTTTTAAAGAAATATTCATTTTAATTACAGCAAACAAATAAATCTTTTCTCTTGCTTATACTCATTCATTATTATTAATTTGTTGAGTCTAGTTCATAATTGATGAAGTTCACAACAATAGTGATTGACGTTTGACTGTTATCCATGTCGAATCTAATACATCAGTTAAAGATCGTTTTTCTGATACTTTTATTAAGTGATTAACATCTGGTATAGATTTTTTATTATTTTGATCATGAATATTCATTGATTGTATATCATTTAAATGATTATTATTTGAACTTTGATGAAAAGAATTATGAAGAATAATATATGGAGCTAAAATAACAAGACTTAAACTAATCTTTTGAAAAAAAAGAATAAAGACTTATTTTCTACCAAGTATTTTGACCATAGGAAATAAATCGTCAATATTCTTGTTATCGACTAATTTCTCTTTTTCTTTATAACATATTTTTAACGAAGTATTCTGCATGATAATAGTTTCTTCTATAGTTTTGATTGTCTTATCCTCTTTAATTATTGATGGTGTTTGAATAGATAAATCTAAATATGATCAAAAAATAAAAATGCTGAAAGATAATGTATCAACAATAGTTACAGAAAAGATATTGTTATAATGTTATTGATGAAGACTTTTTATTTTAATTGTAGAAATATAACAATCATATTTTCGAGGAAAATATCTTTTTGTCAACGAGAGGTGCGGATACGGATTCAGACCAAACCCATATCCACACCTACATATCGCACACTCTAGGCTTCTATCAATTTTAACTACTGACAATGTTGATCAGTTATATTCTCGATCAATAACAGTGATTAAAAGTATGTTTGCCTATGCCTACCAATCAGTGTTGGAGCCAGGATTTTGGGCTTGAGGACACTCAGCTCGTTCTTGGCAAGATTTTTGAAAGATTTATTTTGTCTGATACAAAAGTGTGTTAATATTGGCAATGAAATGTTTTAACACATGTTTTATTTTGAGGACTCATATATGTTGTCGATATAAAGAAAATACAGAAAATATAAATTTCAATGAACGCAAAAGCATAATTTTGTATTAGAAAAAAAAACACATCTTTCAAAATTTTCGTTCAGAAGGGAAGCTGAGCCCTTTCGGCTTTCCTCCTCTATTCCAGACTCCGTCACTTATATTGACCGCTAGTTTCATCTCTCTTTATATGTTTTGAATATTTTGTTTGGGTGTCTAACTTTTGTAATTGCAAATAATAGGACGTTTTTTTCGACATGTATACCTTCAACATTTTTACTGTCGAAGTTATTCAGGTGATTTGTTTGAATAATTGAACTACGATGATGTTTCAATTTTTCAAATTGATCATTCAATTGCATTGAAGAACGTGTTAATGATGTTTTCTGTTGTAAAATATTTTTTCTTTCCCATGCTTGTACTTTATTTCGTCGTATTATCGTTGATTTTGTTTCATTATTATCATGCTTGTCTAAGGTAAAATTACTTGTTAATGCTGTAAATAAATATTTTTGATTTGAAATTAATTCTAATGGTAATGAAATATTCACAGAAGATGTTAACATCATTGACTTTGATGATAATGATGGTGATGAATAATATGACGATGGACAAGTTTGTAAGTCGATAATTGGTTTTGAATGATTTGAATAGCATAAATTTATTGATTGACAATGATTATCATGGATTTCTGGACCGTCATTATGATTTAATAAACCATTACGAATAAAATATTCATTTGTATAGAGTGGTAAGGATGATTGATCATCTATATTTAATTGTTGTTGTAAATATGGACTTGTTAAACGTTGTTTAAGTAAATGATTATGATTACATATAATTTCAGGTTTTATATAATGAAATATTGTTTTAAGTGCTTGTCGTAATTCAAAGAAATCTTTATTTGTTAAATTAAATTCTTTTAAATAAGAACTTAATGATGTATAGGATGATGAATATGTACTTTTGGTGGAGACTTGTTGATGTATATACGTTGGTGATATAGATCGATTTTGATTTAATGCTTTTTGTTTATATAAATAAGTTTGTTTTCGATGATGTATATGATGAAGTGATGGTGATAAATATAAATTATTCATATTTAAAGAATATTTTTTATGTTTAATTATATTTCGGTTTAAATGTTGTTTTATGATAAGAAGAAAAATAGAGAAGAAAAAAATCGTTCATGAACAATAAAATGAATAATAAACTCGTTTATTTTCATCATGCTGATTTTTTTTTTTTGGAAAAATATCTAATGATAGTCCATATAAATACGCGCCTAGTATATTTCTTTTTAGTTAATTACAAGATTGGAAAACAAAAACAAAGTTATCTTATTATCAACATTACAAAATATGATACAGTTATCAAAAAGTTATTTTGACTTATTTTTTATAAACAATAAATAATGAATCACCTATTGATAATTATGTGCAACTTTCACTCGTATGATAAACATAAATGTTCGAAATGCGACATTCAAAATGCTCGTTTTATTCATCCCTATGAACAAAGGTTAATGCTTGACTCATACCTACCTATTGTAGCATCTTTTATACTCATAGTCAAAGTAAAATATAATGTAAGACTATCTAAAAGGTCATCCATAGAAGAAGTCCACGTAAAAAATCCATTTTTGTTTGATCCTTCTCTCTTGTTTTCAGTTTCAACGATCCCCAGCCGAACGTCTACTATAAAATAAAAAAGACTTTCAGAAAAATTCTACCTGTTCAAATATGTTGCTTCTGTTTTTATATATAATGGTTTATTAAATAAATATATCAAAAAGAGGAATGAAAACACACATTTCATAGATATCAAACAAAAATTTTATATATAACAAAGCTTTGGTTTTTAAAAAGATTGTGTTTTAATAATCAGAAATCAAAATGAGTGAGTTCGACTAGTCTATACGATTAAGAAGAGAAAACATGCCGATTTTCTTCTTTCAGGTTTCTTTTTTGAGTTCTGCGTTTCTCTCTAGAAATCTTGGGTAAGACTTTCAACGCTTCAGAGGAAAAAGTAATCTATCTAACTACAAACTACTGTTTTTTTATTAAGGAAAACCAGTTGTTTTTGCTCAAAGAGAAACTGAATCAGATCATATTTTGAAAAGCTATATATTAAAAAGACAAAAGATAAGACCAAAATTCAAAAGTATGGTTTCATCGTCAATATATCTAAAATTCATTTCATTGATACTGAAGAATATTGTGTGAGAAATTCAACTCAATAGCTGGACAGCAACTTCGAGTATCCATTTACTGAAAATGTTTTGATCAACTAGCTTACGAATTATGTGATAATATCTAATCTTAGAATATATAAATTTCCAGTAGTTTTCATAAGATACTGGTAGAGTGTTAATGAAGAAAAGAAGAATAGTCATGCTCACACTCAAGAAATAGTGGCAAATGGAAGTTTTCATGACTGATAAAGAGAGTATGAAAAAGTTCCAGCTGGAAATAGTTTTCCTAGAAGAGACTGATGAATGAATAGTTTCTCTGTACCTTTGAGAGACTTTTTCTTTTAACTGGCGTCCCTCCTAAGCAGAACCAAACGAAAGTTATAAGTCTGAGTTACTCTGAATTGAGTCGACTATTTGACTAAAGTCATTCATTCAAAAAAAGAAAGGTTGATAATGCAACGCCGAGATCAGTGTCTGAAGAAATTGTTAATTTTCTGCAGGAAGAAAATGTAATCAGTGATTTTATCTTCAAAGAAACCAAAGTTCATATCAATCTCTTAATAAACTAACTAGAAAAATAATTTGTATTCTTGCTACACCGACACCAGTTGAACGTGTGGTTTTTTTAAAGTGACTTTTTAATGAGATCATATCGTCGAAATTTTTTATACGCTAATCTTTACATTATAACGTTTTTGAAGTACAATAAAATATTAATAAATAATTTTTGCTCATAAACACCTTTATTAATACTGATACTTCACTTTCTGATAGAACTATATAAAAAAAAAACAGAGTTAATTTCACTGTTTCCAGTCTGTCGATACGACTATAGTAATATCACTTTATTTCATGTAGGACTGTTCTTATCTTTTATTTGTGCATAAAACCTAGGAACAAGATATTGTAACATGAAAAGATTGCTGTTAACATTCTCAAAAACAAAAAAATAAAATAAACAGAAAATGAAACAAAATGGTAAAAATAAATTGACTCGACTTGACTCGAAAAGTGACTTGACTTATCGATCCCTCAGCAGAAAGTAATAAAAATAACTGAAGTTCAATAAAAGTGACATTGAAAAGTCTAATAATGTTCATATTACTACTTGAGAAAATAACTAGAGTTGTTTATATCGCATAATCTTCGATTATTGCAATACCAAATTCATATTCAAATGATTCACTGAGTTCATTTTCTATTTGAAAATGTCCTTCGAAATAAACACAGCTTCAAAATCTCGTGGCAACTTGTGTGAAAAAAAAGGAAAATATTCATAACAAGTGTCTGGACGTCCATAAATGTTTAACTGACTGCTTTTCAATCTTTACCTGAGCATCTTTTATGGATGACTCTAACGAATGAATCACATATTTTGCGTATCAAGAGTTTGTTGTGTAATATTTAATCAGGTCATAGATGCTCGTCTTTCTCCATATATATATAATGTGCGAATTTTCATCAAACGAAAAAATGATTTATTTACAAAGCTCATAAGAAATGGAGAACGAATCTATAAATGTAACAGACTCGAATGTAGCTTCTGATGAAGAAGGAGTTGCAGCAACAGTTATTAGCTAAGGTAATGAATTTAAAAAAAAATATTATATCGTCGATAATTATTCTATATTAAATTATTTAGATGAACAAATAACAACTACCGTTCATGAAAATGGTTATGGATCTGAATGTAATTCGAGTTCGAGAAGTAAAGAAGACATAACTCGTTCAGTACTTGAAATTGAAGCTGATGCTTTTACACGTTTTATTGAACGACAATGTACTGAAGTTATGTTTGAATTACGTCGTTTACGTTTGGATGAACGACCTGTAACTGATCAACCAAATCATGAACGAATTGAAACCTTTGTAAATAATATTCACGAACAACAACGAAACATAAGAACACCATCAACACGACCTATTGTACCTAGTGCTCATCTCGCTGGCATTGATGCATTAGCTAATCATCGATGTGTATCAGCAGCATTAAGAAGTACAGCATTTCGACAAGATCTTGAAAATGCTATTCGACATTCGATTGGAACACAAAGAATAACTCCAGTACAACAAATTCCACAAGCACTACCTATGCCACAAACTTTATCATCAACTATTATAGAACAACAACATTCACAAATTACTCAAAGCTCACCAACATTGTCAGTACATGGTGAACCACTTATTAGAGAACAACAACATTCTCAAATCAATCTAAATCCTACACATGAGCCATTCAATATTGAAAGGTATTCTATTTCAATTATGTATCTATCTAACAAATTAATTATTTTTATAGACAAGAACGTGAATTACATGTATGGCAAACAATAACTCAATTACAACGTGAAATCATTGTTTTGGAAATTAGTGATCTTGTTCATGGACAATTGGTAATAAGTGCTTTGGAAAGTGATTTTCGTCGACATCTTGAACAAAATATTTATGTGAGTTAACGATAATTTAATATAAAATCTACATGTTCATTAAATAGACTCGTTTCGAACGAGAAGCACCACCTCAGCAAGAACAACAACCAGTACCAATAATTGCAACACCACGCATTCCACTTGAGTCTGCTCTAATATAAACAACGCCTAATACTCGTACTGTAAGTATTCTTTCGAACAAACGATTTTCTCTCTTCATACAAGTAATATATATTTGTATAGTCTACTTTAACTATTGATGAATTATCATCACAACTTGATACCATGCAACAAATGCTACAGCTTATGTTTTCTATGCAAATGGACATGCAACGATCATTGCGTCAAGAAGCAGCAAGTGCTATTGTTAACAACACCTCAACTATGATAACAACAATAAATCAGCCAATGAATGCTGGTCATTGTACAATATGTTTGACTGCTATTGCCGATACAGTACTTTATCGTTGTGGTCATCTCTGTGTATGTTATATGTGTGGATTAAATCTTCGAGAAACAAGATCTACTACTGGTGTCAAATATCCAATATGTCGAGCTCCAGTTGATGATATTCTTCGTGTTTATCAAAGTAGCCGTAATGGAGAATTAATATAACAGAAACAAAAAACACTAGAGTGGATTTATTTGGGGAGCATATTTTCTGTAAATAGTCTGTCTTTTTTTTGTGATACATTCACACACGCACACAACATGAATAGTTATATACACTGAAATAAAAGAAAAACAAAAATATAATTTCTTCTTTTAATATAATTCATTCCTTTTTTTTCTTTGTTGTTGTGAAACAGTTATTGATGTTTTCACATTTTCTTTTTTTATCATTACATATGCAATTATGGAGAATAGATGATATCTTTTGTTTTTTAATAAACTAAATGGCGTTTTCGTCGATGGTTTTCAGCTTTCATTTGAGTATCATCCACTACTGGTGAATGTATCACTGGTGTTAAATTTTCATCACCTAATAAAAATTTAAATATAACAAACAAGATAGTTTTACATAAGATAAGATTTCAATTACATACTATTCTCTTCTTCAGCAAAATATCTCAATAATTGTTGTCTATTGATTGGTAACAAGTATTCATTATCAACAAGTTCTGAAGACGATTCTTCATCATCAGGTTCTTGATCATATTTATTAGCATACATTTCATATAAATCATCAATCAGTGGAATAAATTCAACGTCTTCATCATCAGCATCATCACTTTCTGTTGAAAAATGTGATTCAATTTTTTCTATTTTAGGTTGAACATTTTCATCATTGTTCAAAGATTGTTCTTTATGGTGTGATCCAAGTTGTTCATTAGCAAGTTCTTTTAAAAGACGACCAGCGATTTCAGTTGCTTTTTGTTGTTTCGCTTCTTGAGAATTAAGCGCACCTAAACATGCAATAATCATTGATTTTTCGATTTCAATAAATAACTAAGAAAAAAAAAAATTTACTGTCGTTGACAGGAGCCGAAATGACCAATGAATAGCAACAAATAATAGTAAAAAGGCAAAAAGAAATAAATTGCATGATTGAATCTCTGTAAAATAAAATAATGAAAATAACTTTTTCCTGAACAATAATGTTTTGAATGATGTACTCACAGTTACTTTTTTTTACGTATGCGTGAGACTCTATGCGCGTGTTATCGAGCTTATGCGTTCAGAAATAATGAAGTCTTTTTTTCTCTATTCTCTATCTCTAACTGTTGGTAGAAAAAGAATAAAAGCACTGGTGGGCGTTCAGGACGAAAATTGAATATATAAAAAGAAGAAAAAAAAAAAGAGAACGCGAGAGAAAACATAAAAAGCTAAATTGAAGAAAAACGGGAACTACGTCATCGAAACGTCATTTATTTATTTCTATCGACAAACGCTCAACATAAAACTAGTCAACTCGCTCATGCATTCGTGCTATGTTAACTGCGTGGGTGGATATTTTTTTCCCGAGAACGGAAAAAATCTCGTTAAGCTAACAATACAGAATGAAAAAAGAAACAAGTAACACGCCTACTCAAAAAAAAGAAACCAGATGGTTCCCTATGAACGAACAGTCGACTGAATTCAGAAGAACAATTATCATGGCATTAAGAGAAATTTTAAATGGAAAAAGAAAAATAGAAAAATTATTTATGATCTATAATAGTCTTTTTTTTCTATTATGTACAATATTGAAATAAGTTTGCATGACTTCCGCTACCATAAACTTAATGAAAAGGATAGTATTTAAAATTGACAATTGAAAATTAAAAGATCTTGTTTTTTTTAGAACAAATATATAGATACTTCATATATTGTCATTTAGAATAAAATCAGTTTTTTTCAAATGGAAAATCATCACAAAAATAAAAAGAAAACATCTTTGATCTATTTTGAGAATACTTATAATTGAATTATTGTTCTGTAATTTTTTTCTCAATCATATTCAATTTGTTATGAATGATGCATGAATTTATCTTTGATATTACTTAATGAAAATGGAAACAAATAGAAAAAGAATTTTTTAAGATTTATTTCAACGTAGGATTACTCAGCTTCGTCGACATTCTGTGGGCGATAATTTAGAAGTGAAACATAAAAAGACATGTTGCTCGTATGATTATTACACATAATGTCTAATAATTTTCAAATTAAAAAACTTAATATTTTAAGTAGAAAAAAAAAACTTCGCCTTTTGTTTTTACATTCAGAATCACTTAAAAGAAAAAAAATACTAACGACGTCAAAGACATAAATTTAATAATAGATATAGTGCACATAAGTGCATAAGGTTAATTATTGAAGAAAAATAAATATAATACTCCTTTGTATAGATTGTATATGATTGATTTGACAATAGAACAGGCCAAAGCATATCTATTCATATTATTTGCCTTAATGAAAGTTTGACTCTTGAAAACAAAAATTAATCAAACTTTCTTATCGTTTTTATGGAATACACAGTGACTTCGAAAATTATTCAATCAGATTTATTTTCAATTTTTTCTCACTTCTGCGAACGTTTATTAGAATCTAAATAATAATTTGTATAAAAAATTTTATTTCGAATAAGAATTTTTCAAACTTAAAATGATTCTAGCTTTTTCAGAATAGAATCTCTGAAAAACAGTAGCTCGAGTTTTTTATTTCCTGATATTTAAAAATACAGTTCTGTTTGAATTATTTAGAATGATAGAACACATAATGCTCTACAAAATAAAACATCTTCCAGCTCTTAATGTTGTTTTCTTCATCTACTAGATGCATCAGTCTTACGGAAGCCATACAAATGATGTTATAATATGAAATAGTAGAAAAATGACTTTTATGACTTCCGTAAGACTGATGTATCTATTAAATCAAAAAACATCGTAGAGAGCTGAAGGATGCTTCATTTGGTAGAGAATTGTTAGCTCTCTCATGCTGAGCAATTCCAACGGAATTTTAATTGAAAATTTCAGGAGATGAAGAACTAGGGCTACCGTCTTTCATAGGTCATATCCTTGAACAGCTAGTAATCAATTTCATCGAAAAAACTTCATATTGGAAATAAAATTTTCTACAGAAATTATTATTCGGACTCTTATTAGTGTTAACAACAGTGAAAAAATTTGAAAATAAACTTTGTCGAATAATTTTGGGAGTTACTATAATTATTTTTATATTATAGACTTAGAATATTGTTATTGTTAACTAGTAGATAAATTCTTGTCTTCATTCATCAAAATATTATTTCATTAGGTAAATGCACAGCTGTGAATCATTGACATATTATTCATGCTATAATTGATCTTTTTCAAAAAATCTATTCTGTTGAATCTATTCTAATAGTAATGAAAAACAAATCAGTTTTATCAATTGAAAAATAAAGTGCAAAGAAGTTATGTCGTCCTATAGAAATCGACTTTTTCGCATTTGATACATCATTTGCTAGGAAAATTTATTAGATTCATATTTTTCAATTATTCATTTTAACAATTGCCATTGTCTTCTTTGAAGGGATATTAAAAAATCATAGCGGAATATATGTCATAGGTGAATTTTCAATAGAATGAATTGTAGCTCAAATCACAACTGATCCTCATTAATTCAGTAGCACAATATAGCAACAAATAATATGAATATTGAATAAATAGTCAATAAATTTATTTATTCATCCCTATTCCTATAATAAATAATGGTTTTAAAACAATTTTTCGACCAGAAAACTTCTCTAACGGGTGACCCATAATAAATGGTCGCGTTTTTCATTTTATTCTTTCATCATGTACGTAATAAGTTTTATTAAAAAGAAAAATGTATCATAAGATGCAACGTGAAAAGCTCTGTAATTTATATAATTTAAGACCGATTATTTTATAGTTGTTCTTTTTGCTTTCAAAACGGAAAAATTTTGTGCAACCAAATTTCAACCATGCGAACATTGGTCACACACAATTTTGCTGCCTTTGAGAACAATTAGAATAAGCTTTACTGTATAAATTGTAGAGCTTTTTATGCTGCATCTAGTGGCATATTTTGTTTTTTTTTGTTATGAAGACATATTAGATGACAAAAAAGAAGAAAGAAGAAAAAAAGGAATTTCTCGTTCGTGTAGAAAAAAATGATTTTTTGCAACGACGAAACTTGATCGCACACAATTTTGCTTATTTTAAAAGCAAAAAATGCATATATAAAATAAGCTATGCTTTATAGATTGTAGAACTTTTCATGTGGCATCTTGTGGTGTATTTTGTTTTTTTTTTACGCAAGCATATAAGGCAATAAAAAGATGAAAGAAGAAAAAAAACAATTCTCGTTCATGTAGAAAGAATGATTTTTTCGCAATGACGAAAATGGGTTTGAGAGAATTTTGCTTTTATTGAAAACAAAAAGTATAGAATTAAAATGAGCTTTACTTTTTGTAGATTGTGAAGCTTTTCACGTTGCATCTTCTGACAAATTTTGCTTTTCTCTTGAAAAAGTATATCAGGGAATAAAAAGATGAAAAAACAAAAACTGAATTCGTCCTGTATCAAAAAAATTTATCTTTTTCCCACGGTCGAAATTCGGTCGCTCAAAATTTTGCCCGTTTTGAAAGTAAACAGGGCAACTATAAAATAATCGGTCTTATGTAAATTATAGAGCTTTTCACGCTGCATCTTGTAGTACATTTTGCTTTTTAATAAAACTTATTACATGATGAAATATTAAAATGGAAAACGCAACCATTTATTATGGGTCACCCGTTATTTTTACGATCACACTGGTTGGTGTTACAGCCTCCTTTATCTAAACAATAGATATCGTTGATAACGCTTCGAACATAAAATTTTAATGAGATATTCATCGATATCTTATATAAATCAGCCAATTGTACATAAACAGATTCATGAGATACTGCAAATGAACTTACCAAAACATTCATGGTCTATCATGCTTCAATAATTCCATAAGCATATACAATTTCATTGCTTTCAGTAGGGTATCAGTCTGCATCTAATCGACCATCTATAATTCTCGTTCGTCGTTTCCTCTAGTGTTTTTACACTTGTCACATAGACCAGTTCTATAGTGGAAACCGAGCGTGTAAGTGAACAAATTTATCCTTGTTTGGTCTAGGCGAATCTTAGATTGACTTACGACATAGATAATCTGCCATCAATCACACTATTAGATTGACAATAACATGTACATATGTGTACATTAAGTCAAACCTCACATAAGTCCTATCTGATATTATTCCTCTAATGAATATGATTGATGGATCAAAAGCAGTAATTTAATTGAATAATGAATAATGTCAACCATATGAAACAAATTTTATTGTAGAAGTAGTTACAATACGGTTGTGTCTATTGAAACGATGCAATTGATTTTGATTTAGAATGAATCCAAAAATAACTGCATGTTACTACGAATTACTCATAAGAATATTTATTGTAATGAAAAAAATTTATTCATTCATCTGTGGTTTTAATCATGATCGAATAGCAAGACATAAATAAAAAAGATCAACAGAGCTTAACAGTTGACATTATATTACATCATTAATTAATTTTTTACAAATACTAATTGAAACAATAAATTTATTACCTAAAATTGAATAAATTTTCTCAAAAATGAATTCCAACTGTTAATACATAAGAGTAATAAAAGTTAGTCTCAAATGCATATCATCTACATCATAGTTATTAATACCATACACTTTTAGTAGAGTCCTACGGGACAGTTCCGATTCCCTAATGTCCCGTCGCGCGAAATATTCTCGACTAGAACATTTTAAAAATCAAGTAGGACGAGATAAGCGAGATTAATGATTCGAACAAAGTTTGTCTCACAGGACTCTAACTTCTACTCTTTTTTGCTCGGTTAATAAAAATCAATTTATATTTATTAGAAGAAGTATGTGGCAGATTCTTTTTTGACTGTAACACTATTCTTTTAAGTTC